TTGCTCTTCGCTTTATCGGTCTCCCGGCAGCTCTTTTGTAAAGAGGTGGCAAAATGCATTCGCGATTACTTACCGGCCAAAAATGTGGACCCGTCAATAGATATATGCAGTGATCGTACGTCCTTAAAAATGTCTCTCTTGAAAAATACAAACTTACTTAATCTACGTGCTTCCCATTTATTTTATCTATCGCTGCCACGACATGCTTAGAAGGAATTCCTGAGATATCACATTTTCTACAAGTACATGTGTGTCTGTCAAGGTTTACTATAAACTTCTCTGGCCTTCGTGATACCTCAAATATAGTTCTCTGCCAATCTCCTCAAGGAGCTGGAGTCCATATTTTACTATCAACAATCGACACATTCAATTTACCCAATATATTTGGACATATGATGCACTTTCTTTTTCTCATATTTTCTCCCTTTTCATATATTATTGTCATTGTTTGGGTTCGTATACTCTCAATCAGAGACGTAATTCCACCACCTCTCAGCTCTGAATCATTCAATAATATTATTTGTAATGGCAGCAGATTTGACATGAGTTTCAAAGCCGGCTTTGCTCCATCTTTCCATGCCAATATTAGTTAAATATTCTCATGCCCCTTTACAAGCCTGATGCAACTGATTCATGTGAATATTATAAATTACTATGGTTGAAGCATTTACTGCTGCCCAAAAAGAGTTTCCAGCCTTTTCATCCTTCCATCTTTTATTGAAAATAAGGAACAAGTGTAGAACACATAATCGATGAAATTTATATGGATAAATGGCGTCTAATTAAGGAAGAGAGAAGACCCTATGAGTGAAAGAAAAAAATAATTAAAGTACATACTTAATACATTATTAAAATAGAATTGATATAATTATGTGAAATATTACCGGTCCTTGATCAGACTTAAACGTCCATGTTTCTCCTCGAGGAGATGTAAGTCCTATATCCTTTAATAACTGGTTTAGAAACCACAACCACGTGTCCTTTGTTTCGGAGAAAACAATAGTAAATGCTATAAGGAAAAGACCGTTGTTTCCATCTTGAGCTACAACAGATAAAAGTTGGCCATTGTAATACCCCTTCAAGAAGCATCCGTCAATGGAAATCGAAGGCTGACATCCAGATAGAAAACCTTTTCTATAGGCATCGATCAAACATGAAGTCAATCGAACCTAGAAGGCACACCAGCGGTTAATATCTCAAATGTAGTTCCCGGATTAGTTCTTAAGAGTTCCGCACGATAATCCCAGAGTCTTGCATATTGATCATCAAGATTACCATCCATTGATTGAAGGGACAGGCTTCTTACTCTATAGGCATTTGATGAACTTATTTTCAGCTTAAACTTGTCGGCAATATGTGCTTTTAACTCCAACCCAGTCATACGTGGAATTTTTTTTAAAGTAAATGGTAACTTGTGTGGCTAACCATTTGGTATCTACAAACCTGGATTTTACATCTCCTTTTTTACAGTTATGCTCTCCATAATATATCTTCACCTCATATGTTTCAAGATTGCCCACTTTTGAACAATATATAAGCCACGGACAGGAAGAAACACAACATGCTCTACATATATTTTTTTTTTTTTATCTTTCCTCATAAATGTCAAGTCACTTTGTATATCCCGTTACTTTTCACAGCCTCATAAAATTCATTGATAGAAGAGAACTTTTGGCCTAATCTAAAACTTACTCCTCCGTATGCACTTTCAGCGTGTGGTGACTCGACCTCATCTTCACTACCCAATGAGTGAGAACCAGAGTATCCTATGCTCCTTAATTGGTTGCATGATTTTATTGGACCACTAGACAAGCTTTGCGTTCTACCATCCGAACACACGTTATTTTTTTATGGATCAATAGGTAAATTTTCCTCACACATCTGTAAGTTGAAAAAATAGAGTTAATCATTTAGAGTATATATTTCACTAAACACAACTTGTACAGTATACTAACAAATACACTAATAATTAGATCAACAATGAAAATCCAATTTTGAATCTTAAGTGATAAAAAGTAAGATTACCTAAAATGACAAAATTAAGCAGAAAAAATATAAAACATGAACAATTAGTATTAAAACAAAATGAAAAAAAAGGACAGGGATATTATAACAAAATATTTAGTCAGCTTTTCTTTGATCTATCCCTGCGGATGAAATGGCAGTGGCCCTAAGGGAGGAGTTTAGAGGCCTTATTGTAAAACCAACAATGAAAAAAAAAAATACCTTCCAAGACTTTATTCAATGAACAATGGGATGTGGAATTTTAAGAAAGTAATTTTACACAGATGAAGATGGTGGTTCACGCATAGAGATGAAAAGTATGGTTCATTTTTTCCCTCCACTTCTCCACATAAGAAAAAGCAGGAATCTTATGTAGTATTGTTTTTTATTTAGTTTAATCAGGTGGAATAATAAATTTTTTTATTGACTAAACACTTATTGTGGGAGTTCCAAATTTGAGGAGACCTTAATTAAAGAAAAAGCTACAATTTGAATCCTGGTTTGAGAGATAACAAATTGTAGATCCAAAGTTGACATAATTAAGTAAAACTGGATCCTGGTGTGGAATTTTTCTGTTGGGAATTGGGATGGTTGCGTACTTTAATTTGCTTGTACAATATTTATTGACGTGGCAGATTATTTTGCATAAAATAATATAATTTTATTTTAGAGGTCTTATTATGAGAAATGAAGTTTTTGGGGGAACTTAATTTGAGAGTAGTATAAAATTTGGGTTCTGATATGAAAGGTGTTAAATTGTAGGTCCAAGGTTGACATATTTAAGTAAAATTGGATCCTGCTATAGAATTTTTCCATCTAGAAGTGTATGCCTCTCATGCATTTATTTTATCACGATTCCACGATTTTAAATTTTCACTATTGCAATTTTTAGTTTTATATTCTTGCATCTATCTTACCATAATAGCATATTGTTTTTAATTGTCCACATGTACGCGAATTCCGGCTATAAAACCATGGGTAGCTTTGTGTAACTCTAAAACATACATCTTCATTTTAGTGTAGAAGTGGTAATAAATATGGTTAGATAATAACACCTCAGACTGATTAGACTCCCTGAATTCTTGTCTTTCGTACCGATCAACCGTCCTCAATCCCTGCAAAGAAGCCTAGACCGGAGAGGAATAATCTCCGGCTTGACCCTCCGACGATCAAGTCAGTAATCTCAAGAGTACAAATCTCAAAACGTGATTTAGAGAAGAAAATGCTATTGATCCTTTTTAAAAACTTCCCTTTCTCTCCTCTCTCTTCCCCTCTTATACTTCTTCCACGGCCCACGTTCCACTCGAATAACCACCCATCGTTTTTTCGAGGGCTCTCCTCGATATACCGAGGAGTTCGCCTCAAGCCAATTTGGTCAACGTGTTTTTTATTAGGACCGAGTCATAAAAAATCGATTTAGAGACCATATTAATAATATCTTACATCAAGATAAAAACCCAAATTTATCTAATTTCGATACGCCTAACTCTTCCGAGGGCGGTAGTTCGTCTACAATAAATTCTCGATATCGTAGGAGTATACCTCCCGTTTTTGGCCAATTTCCTGCAATGCAATTGTAATCCCAATTTCAAAATTTTTCACATCAACCAACACTTTATTTTCTCTATCCCAAACATTAGAAAATCATGTATGCCCTCAACAACAAAATGTGATGAAGATGAATCACTCTTAGTATGTGTGGTCAATAGTATCCCAGTATAGAATGCCAAATTCACTTAGCATGCCTTTTCAACATGGTAATTTCATACCAACAACTATGAGTAATGGGCCTACTGGCTCACAGGATCCCCTAGGAGGTACCATGGCCAGAGGTTGAAGGTCTTGACAATATTTATCTTAATACGGAAACAGAAGAAAATAAGGAACCTGAGCCAAAATGATGTGGAAAAGCGTCAGCAATATCGTGGATACAGTAGGAAGATATGTTGCTTTATCACGCATTTTGCATTATCTCGAGTGATCGTATCGCGGTGCTCAACAAAGTTCTGAAGACTTATGGATAAATATAATATAATTTAAATATAGTACAATTTATGATTAAATATATAATATACATGGCTATACAAATATAAAATAAGATTTGTCTAAACTATGTATAAATGCATCTTTTGTGAGTTTTAGTTTTATATAAGTATGTAATATATCTAAATAAAATGTGAACTAATAAAAATAAATTTATTTTACATTATTTATTTGAAATTTATTTTTAAAAATAATTTATTTAATATAATTTAATAATGATATATAATATATATTATATAATTATTGTTTGTTGATTTTGTTAATTTTATTTTTTGAAAAACTGAATCCTAAAGACATGAGAATGGAAAAACCATACATTAGCTATGGAATGACTAATCTAATGGAGATGAGTTTGCGATTCCATTGGAATTATTATTCTTTTCTAAAACATACCAATCATGAGATTAAGAAGGTTTGTCAGATTTATTATATTAGGAGTAAGAATAAGGTA